TCCATTGTTTTTTACCTACTTAGAAACCAAGAGGGAGGATGAGTTGGCACCGTCCTACTAGTTAATTTGACTCTAACTCTAGGAAACCAATTTTATAGTTTTCTTTATAAGGGCTGTTTGGTTCGTTTTTTAACTCGATGGAAAAGTTTTACACCGCCTCCACATCAGATTTTTCGTGACCACGTAGGATATAAGCTTTCCGTTGGTTTTTTTTCTCATCTTTGGTTCGCTAGGGTTGAAGAAGGGAAACTCGGTGAAAATCGCCGTCACATCAGATTTTTTATCTTCCCCAATTCCTTCCTCAACCTCGTGAAATCGACGAAAACTACAGCCACGTCAGCTTTTTGCCATATAAACAAAAGTTTTTCCTTTTTTTCCATGCGAACCAAACACAAGAAAAATAAATACATTGGTTTCCCACCATTTTTTTTGTGCGAATCAAAACGAAACAATCTATTTCTTGGAAAAGTTTAGAAAACTCAAAACTTATGTTTTTGTACATGGAAATGCATTTCCCTATATCTAGGAAACGAACCAAATAGCCCCATAAAGGAAATGACTTGAAAATCATTTATGGAAGTTTCTTCACTTCTTAAGTTTCTAGAAATTAACCAATCACATTCTAAATGTGAGAAATGTTATTGGCACCTTAAAAACCTTATTAACATCTTGATTTTCCTAACAATACATGATTAGTTTGTACCTCATTAGCACAAAATTCTTGTAGTATCACATAATTTTATTATAAACTCTATTGCTAACTTAAGGATGATTATTTAGAAAATATCAAATGAAAGTAAGCTATTGTAACAAGAGCTGGTTATTTACAACTCCCCCGAAATTGATGAGAATTTCCTATAATTAAAATAGTTTAGGGGAGTTATCTGAGACAACTCCCATATTTTGCGGGTTTCAAACCCCATATTACACCCTTGAATTATCTCTATTCGAGATAATTTACTAATTTATCTATTTTGAAAAAGAAATTTTAGCTAAAAAACTAGCATCAAAATCATGAGACTTTTAGGAATATCCCTTAACATAACTTTTAAGAGTGCATTTTAGCTCAATATGATAAAATGAGGGTATAAATCTCCTATAAATCGCCAATTATCTAGATTTGAGGACTAATTCTATAAATATCATTTTTGATCAAGGTTTGTATTTGAGTTAGGGGAGATTGATGGAGAAAGAGGAGCCTAATTGATGAGAGAGAAAGAGAATATTAACCGGATAAATGGGTAGAAGAAATCTTAATTGGAACAAATGGAGAAGTAGGGTGTATAGTTAATAGTTTTGAGATGTCGAGGGGATGAAAAAAATTCCCCGAAAAAATTATAGACCGCCGGTAGTCTTGCTATTAGCAAGAAAAAGAACTTTATCGATAAAAAGGTCAACGTGAAATACTTAAATGACGCTGAAGGTCAAATGAATATCATATTAGAAAACTAGTGCTATACTCACGTCATGTTACAAAAATATTTAAAAAATTAGTCTACTTTCATATTTTCAGAGTTGGATAGACTTCACTTTATTTACTCTAAATGTTCAAGCAATATGTGCGAAAATAAAGATACTAAAAAAAGAAAAATAATTAAAACAAAGTTGGGCATATCTAAGAAATCCCACAGAGCTATATCTTCGTTTGTCCCTGTAACTATGAAAATTTTTCAAACCAAACAAATCTTTGTGTATTCTAATATTGCAGAAATATTTCATAAATATCACAAATTAATCAAATGCACAATTATATTTGAATCATTTGGCTACATTACAATATAGTCAATCATCAACCATTATGAAGGGAAAATATATAATTCATGTTAAGTGTTTCATGTTAGCAATGATGATACCATAAATGACTCAATACCATATAAGAAGTTTAAAAAACAAAGGAAGCAATAAGAGATATTTACCTCCTCGTTTAATCTATCTAATATCTACATGAACAATCCTTTATCTAGAGAAGATGATCAATTGAAAGGAGATCAAAGTAATATTTTATATGCAAAGACCAAATTTTCTCACATTTTTTTTAATATTTGAAAGAGCATTTAATCAATGGGGTTTAATCTATTGCAACTAAAATTTAGATTTTGAAGACATTAATGTAGGCGTCAAAAATTACCTATAAGTTATCGCACACAGCTCGAGATGAAAAGAATGCGATAAAAGTCATCATCTGAGTCAAAGAGGATCATACAATGCCAAAGACCAACTAAGGAATACACAAAAATACAAAACGACGAAAACAAGAGGACATCATATAATTTCTGAGACAAAGAAGTTGACTAGGAAACTATGAGATATCACATAGTTTCCGAGACATGGTATTTGTCTCGGAAGCTATGAGGCAACACATAGTTTTTGAGACACGAAAACTATCTCGGAAACTATATGACAGGGTCATGTTGCTTTGTGATAATTTTCTCGAGATTTGTGCAATCCACGTGGCTTCATAACTGCTGGGTATCATCCATAAACGTGGGGAGGCAGTTACAAACTAAAAATTCGCCCATAACTACAGAAATTATGGCATTTAACAGAGTAAGCAACGATTACAAAACTGTCTAGGACAATACACTATTTCCGAGACACAGAATCCGTCTCGGAAATAGGGGTTGTCAGTTCAGATTTGTTTCAACTTTCTATCTTCAGTAACGGCTCCTAAAGGCTATAAATACTTTCCTAGCACCCATATGCACGAGGACCAAGCAGATTCTAGGCAGAGACTTGAGCTTTTTGGCGACTTTTGAGCAAGACAGAGAGTCTTTATTATTTTCAAGCATCCTCAAGAGCCTTCGGTGTTTCCTCGAGATCTAAGCTTTATCTCGATCTTGAGAAGAGTATTCATCTTACTTCGATAAGATATTCACTTTAGTTCTTACTTCTAAAACGAAGCAAGAACGCCAAAAGACTTCTTCACGATTTAACTTGGATCTATGACTTGATCGTCCCCGGACTAACGCGTCCCCAGCACAGGCAAAGATTACACGCAAGCAGCAAATGATAAACGTTCTTGCATGTGTTTCTAGGGAGCACCCTTAATCTTGTTTTAATATAAATAGAAGATTTACAAAGCACAAAGCTCACTCTTTGTTTCCATTGTAATCGATAAACGTTTTGTAATGGATTCCGCAATAAAAATTGTTCCCAACACAAACAAGTATATTTTGGGTTTTCTATTAATAGAATGTAGAGGGGACATAGATATAAATGGTCATTATTCAAATTTTAGTTTATGAAAATCAATTACTTTCTAAGAGTAACAATAGAATTTGAAAAGGCTTTTGGTTAACAGCTAGCAATAGAATCTTAATAATAATATAGTATATTAGTATATTGTATAGTATAACATTAGATATAGATTGGAGAGAATATTAAAGGTAAAATCTCTAAAAGCATGACACATGCCTTCCAAGGGCTTTGTCTTAGTATATAGATAGATAGATATAGATATAAATAGATGCAATGTTTGAAGCCTATATATTTAGAAAAAAGTAAACTTTTAACTAAACTGCTATTTGACATTCTTCTCCTTAAAGTATATCTAGGCCAGATTGATGCATAAATAGAGTATGTTATGGAATAAGACTTTTAAAATAGTAAGAATGTGTATACTAGCATTTGAGACGTAATAATAGTAGTTGTAATTAGTATTTGCATTTGAATGGGTTCAGATCGAGGCAAATAGTTTTTTCTGATCATATGACAACTAAATGGATAGTTTAAGTTTTGCTGTTAATTTTTGGAAAAGATGTTTTCATCAATTATGAAATTATGAAAGATAAAAGAAGGTACTATTAATCAATGGGTGGAAGGGGACAAATCCCTCGTGATACAATAACATAATCACATGTAAAAGTCCTTAGAATTAATTGGATTTTTATGAAAAAATGAAAGCCAAATGGCCAAAAACTCTAGGAAGTTGCCAAGTGACAAAAGTTCTAATAAGTTGCCATGTGGCAATTAAGGATTTTGCTTTAGGATAAGGTATAGATGACGTCAAAGAATACCAATGTGATACTCTAGGCTATGTTTAAAGAATACCAATGTGATACTCTAGGCTATGTTTCTATCTCTTTTCCCACAACTCCCAAAGACAGGTAAATATGAGTATCCCGAAGTTCAAATTTGTCCAATATATTATGAATCTTTCAAGAGATATTACGTTGTGGTTTAAAACTTGTTCAATAGTTAAATTAAAAAAAAACAATTTCAAAAAACAGTTTCAATCGAAACAACAATTAGGTCCCCAATTCTCATCGCGATCTAGACATATGTGCAATTAGGTCTCTAGTTCTCATGCCTTGTTTCGAATTAATTTAACAGTTTGGAGGCCTAACAACAATTTCAATGGCTTGAGGGACTAATTTCAAGCTATGGTGAGAGACTAATATCAAAAAAAACCTTTAAAGTTTAAATTCTCCCTATATCACAAACATTATTACCCGGGTAAATAGCACTTAAACACCTTATAGTTCCACTCCATTGGTATTTATATGCCCTTAGTTGTATTCATAGCATTTGTATACCCTGAGTTGGTTAAATTTGGCATGTTAATACCCTCTATTTCGCAAACATGAAAATTTTCATTCAAAAGTTTTCATATAACATTTATATGTTAATTTTAGAGCTCTTTTAGAGCGCTTTAACCATGTCATTTGTTAAACTACTATTAAGTTTATCCAAATTCTAAATAAAATGTATTGTAATTCTATTTTAAAAATAGAATTTGAAAAGATTTAACAGTGAATACAACAAATTTAATAAACAGAAAGATATAAAATTTGCATACATGAATGTTATATGGGAATCTTTATATGAAAATTTTCACAAATGTAAAATAGAGGGTGTTAACGTGACAATTTTGACCAACTTAGGGTATATAAATGCTACAAAATATAACTGGGGTATATAAAAGTCAGAGGAATGAAACTGTTCAAATATTATTACTAAATCATTTTGATGCCATTTTCGTCATTCTTGCAAAAAACAACGGGCATTTCAGTCATTAAAAAAAAGGCTACCACAAAATCTCGGTCCCTTCTGCTCTCCTCGATCGATCGACGAACGCTCCAACAGCCGAGGCATCATCGATCTTGATGATTGACAAAAGGAGGAAAGTTTGATGTTTGCTCTTTGATCCAAAATCTCTGAAACCCTAGCTTTTTTAACCCCATCCGTGCAAATTCCGATGATTTTTCGCGGGGCTAGGGCAGATCTCGCGGCCTGATCTCGAGATCGGAGCGGAAATGGCGGCTCCCAACATGGAGCTCTTCGACCAGTTCTTCAATCGAGCGGATTTGGATCGAGACGGCAAGATCAGTGGAGCTGAGGCTGTTGCCTTCTTCCAAGGATCCAATTTGCCCAAACCAGTGCTCGCTCAGGTTCATTTCACTGAATTTTCTGTTGATTTATTGGTAATTTTAGGTTATGTATTGAATTTCTCAGGATTAAGTTTGTATTTTTTTGATGCCAGATCTGTTCAGCTGAGATTATGAATTACGTAAATTTTCTTCAATCTTGATACTATACTGCAACAAAACTAAGTAGAACATCAGTTCATATAAGCACCGGACTGTAGTGCAAGATTGACCGGGCATGAAACAATGAAATATTGGGTCTTTCATGTTAGTATCAGCAATTGGAGTTTTTCAAGTCGTTATATGATCCAATATGGATAATTGGGGGCAATAGCTAATTCATGACCGTAGGTCTTATGGGTGGAAATTGAAGGTATAGAAGGATGATTGATTAGCAAATGTTAGGAAAGTGGACCTCAAGTTGATAGAATAGATCTAATCTCATAAAGTCAGGCAATTTGCTAGGTTGGGTTTCGGGTCCTTTCCGATGCAGTATAAAATGTGAAAGTGTAAAATGATGGATAAAATTTAGAGCAAACCTTGCAAATTATTAATAGTCTCAAAAGCGCAGCTATCTATATGTGATGGTTCTAGATATGATTCTTATGCTGTATTAGATAAACTGCGCCTTTTGGGTCGTTAGGTAGGACCATAGCTATCTTGTGGATTTGGCAATTCAAAATTGATAAGAGCAACTGTAAAAGAACTAAGTTGAAGATTATAGTTAGTTAAGTCGCCTACCAATAACTTTAAGCGGAGATGCTGTTGCAGCATACTTATGATATGGAGGAGGTGGAATCATTGTTTTCGTTGGCCATCTTTTGCAAGTCATCTAAGGCTGGAGATAGTTATCACAAAATGATTTGTTAGATTGGATCTTATTGAAGATTAAGTGACTGTATGATAATCTGGAATTTGGTGATCGAGACTAAGAGAAAGTTCATATCAAGTGTTGATGAGTGAATTCTTCTTATAATCGCAGATGGCAGATGTTGATGAAGTGAATTTTTGTGGATTAATTTCTGGATTAGGCAATGTATATGGGTCTCCTGCCACTTGTAGAACAGAAATAAGGGAAGATTTGATGGCTAGCGTACTCGTTTAAAAAGGAAACATTGTGGCATCAATTTTTGTGAATGGTGAGTAATTTGGCCGATGTATATAGTGAGAGAGAGAAAAGGTTGGAGAAAAGCAGTAGTATAGGGAAGAGGAAAAAGGGAGGGACAGACAATGCTTTTAAAAAATAAAAATCTGCTCAACTAGGGAGGGAGAGATGAGAGTTTTGTGAAGTGAAATTTGTTTACTAACACATGCAATTCTTTCCCAAACATTAAGCATTCTTGTCTATACATTCTTTCTAAAGGCAACGAGAGTGCGTTTAGCATTATGCTATCCTTCAATCTGTGTAGTTTGTTTGTATTCAATACGGTTGCTTTTCTGTTTCTTAAGTGAAGAACTTAAGTTGATACCCTAGGCCTACTGCTATTTCATAAAGTTCTTTTGATGCTAGATTTTGTACCTCCAGACAACACGAGCCTTGCAGTTTACAAGTGCAGAAGTATGTCTTGGGGCATAAAATTGCATATACTACAAGTTTTTTCTATGTACTGCAGTACTTTGCCACATTATATGATGGTTATGGATCTGGCATTGACCATCTTTTTTCTGGTTGATATGTTTACCATACCATTCTTGTTGTGTACAGATATGGATGCATGCTGATCAGAATAGGACTGGTTTCCTTGGGCGGATTGAGTTCAATAATGCATTGAGACTTGTAACTGTCGCACAAAGTGGTCGGGAATTAACTCCAGATATTGTTAGAGCAGCACTATTTGGTCCAGCTGCATCAAAGATTCCGCCACCTAAGATAAATCCAGTGCCAGGTCAGATGGGTTCTGTGGCCACTCCAAGACCCCAATTAGCTTCTGTAGCTCCTCCTTCCAATCAAATAGGTTTTGCGCCTCCAACATCTCAGAATCTCGGAATTAGAGGACAACAAGTTTCTCCAAATATGGCTGTGAATCAACAAATCCCCCCATCCTTTAACAACAATTTCATGAGACCGCCTCAAGCCACAACTGCTGCAGCTCCGCTGCCAACGCAGGGATTCGGTCAAGGGCCAACTACAGGAGGATCTATGGGAGGTCCTCGTGTCCCTGGCGCGAATACACCAAACCTATCAACTGATTGGCTTGAACAATACAGGGATTAGCTTCTAAACCTCAAACATCAGCTGTATCAGCATCCGCAGTTTCTTCTACACCTTTGAGTACACCCTTATCACCATTATCTACCAATGATTCAAAAGCATTAGTTCTATCTGGAAATGGTTTTTCTTCGGATTCTGCTTTTGGCAGCAATGCATTTTCTGCAACTCAAGCAAAGCCAGGATCTAGTACAGCTCCACCTCCCGTAGGATCTCAAAATTCAGTTAAATCAAGCCAATCTGATCCCTTTCAGAACATTCTGGCACTAACTGGTGGCCAACCTCTTCAATCTCAAGCAGTTCTTAAGCAAAATCAAGTATATTCAATGCCTAGTACTTCTGCTCCTAGTGCAACAGCTGTTTCAGTTGGATCTGCTAGCCCTCCTAGTCAGTCACAGCTTCAATGGCCAAAGATTACACAATCTGATATTAGAAAGTACACAAAGGTATTTATGGAGGTAGACAAGGATAGAGATGGAAGAATAACAGGTGAAGAGGCGCGTAATCTATTTCTCAGTTGGAGGCTTCCCAGAGGTATACATTCTTGATTACTGGTTTATTGCTTCTTGATATTTTCCTTTGCAAAATTATACTGTGCTGTTCAAAATATTGTTTCTTTAGCACATTTATATGGTTGATGGTATTGTATATGAGGAGAGTAGGATATCTTGTGCTTTACTTTTTATCATCATCTTTATGTGTTGCTAACTCAGTTCACATAACTTATGTTATTGAATATTAGCATAAAGCATAAAATTAGCGTGAAGTTCTTTTGTACTATCTATGGTCTACCCCCCGCCCGCCCCCCCCAACCCTTTTTTTATAGACTGTTCTCTCTTAGTGAGCTGCTTGCCCTAGATGCTTTGGGCTTTTGGAGCTAGCTTTGTAGATCTTAAGTTAAGATGGCCTGGTTATATGTTGATAATATTGATTGTTTATTGCACCTACAGAGGTCTTAAAGCAGGTGTGGGACTTATCTGACCAGGATAATGATAGCATGCTTTCATTACGTGAATTCTGTATTGCTCTATATCTAATGGAACGATATCGAGAAGGGCGTCCTCTGCCCCCTGAACTTCCCAGCACCCTTCGGTTTGATGAGACATTGTTACAAGCAACAGGTCAACCTTCAACAGCCTATAGTGGTCCATCTTGGCAGATGAGTCCTGGTAATTATATTCTTACCATTGCATTTCTAATATTTGTTTGTTCCTTTTTCTTCTTCTACTTTGTCCTATTACCTTCTATTTTCTGGTCATACATGTTCTTTCTTTGTGAAAGGCCTACCGCAGCATGGAATTCCTGGATCACGTCCTACTTTGCCAGCTTCTGGAGCAAGGCCACCTATGCATGGTTCATTTGGTTCTCTGCAGGATGGTGCACGACAAACATCCCAAAACATACCAAGCATTCCAATATCAGAGAGAAATCTGCAGACACAGAACAAGGATGAACATGTTATCCAAGGGGGAACAGATGAGGACAACAAGGTACTAGTTTGGCTGCTTAATTAATCACTGTGCTTCTTTGTATGTTCAAACTATTTATTATCTCTTACAGTCACACTTCCTGTTATGCATTAAAATAGAAAGTTAGAAACCAGTATCTATCTTAACTCCTTGCTTAACCATTACCTTATCATTTCTCTACATGAAAGTTTATTCTTAACCAGTTACCTCAAAAATTTTCAGTTAGATTACTGAAGATGATTGATGTAATAAAATCTTAAAAACCAAACTATTTTATTAGGATATGCAGAAAATAACAATGCCCTTGTCATCTATTGTGATGCTCAAGTGAACTTTTAGTCCCACATCTGTGGGTGAGTGTGTGATTAAATGGTTAATATAGATAAACTCAAGACTTAAGTGCAGCATTGGCTAGCCGTTTTTTGCAGTGGTTGGAGCTAAAAAAACATGCTACACTTAATAGGTCCCATGGCTTACATCGCGCCAAAGGGCTTGCAAGCCTGGGGCGTGAAAAATGATATCAAAGCAATTAGCCAGCCAAAAAATGTGGAACTAAATGCTATAGGGAACTAAGTGCTATACTGTGTGAGCATGGTGGGAACCACCTCTAGAACCTGTAGGAGTCACCTCTATAATCCACATCGCCTAGTGATCCAGTGACGGGGCAATTGTCAATGTTGCGATGAGGATGTTACTTATGTAAAGTGGGGGTGATTGTGGTCCCAATTGAACTTTAGTCCTACATCGGTGGGTGAGTGTGATTAAATAGTTTAAATAGATAAGCTCAAGACTCAAGTGTTTGGCAATGATTCAAGCCAAACAATGTGCAACACTTAGTGTGTCTCACGTCTTACATCGCGCCAACGAGTTGCAGGCCCAGGGCATGACATCTGTGACTTGTTAGATGAATATTGTTAGCTCACAACCCATCAATAGAAGCCTACAGTAAATGATTGCTCACTTTGTATGTCAATTTATTTTCAAGCTAATCAATGCAATCATCTATTTGCTTGCCCTGCCCTTAGTTTATCTCTTTTGCTTGATGCCTTTTTTGTGTCACATGGCCAACCTGAGAGCACATGTTAAATGTCAAGTTGGTTATGTAAGTTGCTAATTGCTATATATACTTTTTTTTAACACAGAAGATGATCAACATTAAGCTTTAAATAAAGTTTTTTTCTTTTCAATTTTAATAAAAATAATAACTTGCACATTTTAAGTGCGCTTCAGATTTTCTTTCTATTTGACAGATTTTATTTGTTCTCTTTTCAATTTAGGTGATTACATCATTGACATTCTTTTGGATTGGTTCTCACAGTTGACAAGTCACATTTATCGTTTTTTCTTTCCTGACTATTTGTTCAGTGAATGTGTATTGGATATTGTGATTTGCTGGTTATTGTTGTTTGGAGTTTCGCTTATCTTCCTTTGTTCCCTTTATCTTCCCGTCTCTTGGTACCTTGTTTCGCTAATTGACTGTATATTGTTTTTAATAAACCAATTGCTATATGATGTTATTCTTTAGTTATAACATAAGCAACATGACGTGGTGTGCTCTTTCATTGTTTTGACTTTGTGAGCTGTAATACGATGATCTATCTACTAACATTTTTTTTAAATGGTGAAGGTTCAAGAAATGAATAAGATTCTGGATTCCAGAGAGAAGCTTGAGTTTTACCGAACTAAGATGCAAGAACTCGTAAGTTCTCTTTTTATTTTCACTAGTATGTAATATGTGCGTTGCACGTGATGCATGTTAAGAAACCATATTAGATGAAGCATCTGAGTGCCAATTAATATTTCACATACCAATCTTTATTACTATTTATAACACACTGGTAGATTTGAAGATCATGAGTTGATCAATCCCTGGGGTTTTTCCCCAAACGAGAACATAAGAATTTTAGTAAAATATTTTCCCAAAATAAGTTAAAGCTTCCATCACTATATCTCTGATCAAAAGGGCATTTTACAATAAATAACACTTCAATCAAATCCTTCCATAAGATAAAAAAGTATGGCGAAGACTTTAAAGAAATTAACTTGTCAGCGCAAAAGAAATGTTTCTTAACAGTTCAAATGGCAGTAAAGACGAATGGAGGAAACATTAAATTTAAATGTCAACCAGAAATTCTAAGCATATTATTCAAATGCAAAACTAGCCAAAGGATGCAGAAAATTGTCTGCTGTTGCTATTCAGCTAGTAATCAAATGTCGCAATATAAAGCAATGTAAAAATAAACACCGCAACTATTTCCTACCTGTTCAATGATATTTCTCGA